AACTGTGACACCAAAATCCAAAGGCACATTGAGATAGCGAAAGATGTCTTCTAAAAAGTAAGCAAAGTATCAAGAAACAAGAAAATTTCATTATAAACAAAGAAAAGAATACATGTAAGACTTGTGGCAACAGAAAGGTAATTCTACAGAAGGACGCTGAAAATACCATGGACCGAACACATGAGCAATGACATAGTTTTAAAAAAAATGGAAACAAAAAGTATACTTATACATAACATCAGAAAGAGATAGTTGAAATTTTTAAGGCACATAATAAGGAAAGAGTGCTTGGAAAATTGACACAGGGCAAAAGTGGGACAAGCTTGTGTAATTGGATGGCAGAACAAGGATCAGGAGATGTAGCAAAAAGACAAACTTTACGAAAGGCTACAAAAGACAGGAAATTGTGGAGAGTCATGATCACTCACATCCAAAAGATAGAACAAGAAGTTATTCAAATAAAACCATTTTCTGTCCCTGAAAGGAGTATTCTCATGAACATTTAGATCACAGCTAAGAAGTAAAGAGAAGTAGCAATGTTGACATTTTTAATAATATATTTTGAAAATCTAACTAATATTATAAATTATAATATTACAACATTCTATTTATGAAAAAAATGTCTATAAAAATTTTAAAATATTCAAAATGTTTTGCAATTTTGTTAATGCCAAACAAAGAAACTGCAAAGCAAAGAAAAATGATTTGGTCCAGACAATGCTAGGTCTCATTGTCAGTCAATCAATAATGCACAATACTTTCGTAACAGAGCTGTTGCCAGTGATTGAATAAAATGTATACATTATTCAAGGCTTTACTATATTATTTAAAAAGTCTTGTAGATGCAAACACATAAAACATTTACAAATTCATTCCCTACTACTCATATTTGCATATACAAACATAGATACACAGTATAGTATCTATGCACAAGTACATATATGCATACAATCCTCCAAGCAATCTTAAAAAATGAGTCTGTTGGAAAGAATTTGCCTCTATCTTTAGTCTGCAGTATTGCCAAAGGTAACAAAAGAAAAGTCTTGTTTGTGCTTATATTCACTGTTTTTAATGTATATCATCATCATTATTTAAGAAATATTTTTTACTGGCAAAAGGAATTATACTTGGTATGACTCATTCAGATATTAATGTGCCAGAAATTACCATGACTACTCAAGTAATTTAATTGCAACTGCTGTAGTTGCTGGACATATTTATTACAGCTGATGTAATATTGTTGTTAAAGATGATAATGATTTCCCTTAAACACCTGAATGAAACCATCATTTAAATAGAGAAGTGTATAACAAGAGTGAGCATTAGTAATAAGTTTTAGGTGCTAAGTGAAAAACAAAATAAAAGAAACTGCACCAACATTTTATATTTCTTAAAAGTGCAGCCTTTCTCCCTACCTGCTATATGTCTGTGTCATGCTAACCCCAACTGTGTCTGTTGGGATATGACTTATGTAATAGAACACAAAAGTGGGGGTGTTGGACCTCACACACTATTTGATCATCTGTGACCCATGCCTTGAATAAACTGATATTAGCATAATTTACTCTTTGTATCAATAATAAAAGTATAATATCCAAGTCAACTTATATATATGTGTGTGTGTGTGTGTGTGTGTGTAAATATTTACATTTTTTCTTCATATGGAAGTTATATTTTTGAAAGAAGTATTGTTTATTTTCATAAAAGATAGAGTTGTGTTTTTTTATTATTTTCATAAAAATTGTTTATGAATGTATGTTTTCCAAACAATAAAATACTAAAATGATGTTGAAATACTAAACTTGCAAAACATTGTGTTGAGATGCAGTTTCTGCTTTGAGAAATATTTTACATAACAATTCCCAATTCTTGCTTAGGCTTTAAACTAGATATAAAAGATGTGTGTGTGTGCGCACGTTTTAAATAATTTTATGTTTACATTTTTATGTTCCCTTAGCTTAGATATTTGCTCTCTCAACTAAATATTAAAAGCTGAAGTTTTGGATTTCTTTAAAAGAATAAACAGATGAACTCCTTCTGTTTAACAATTCCATCCAATTAAAGAGAAAGGAAACTAAGCAAAAATAAATGCAAAGCTTATCAGCTTCTTGAAAACAAATCTAGTAAGTTTTGATGAAAAAAAATATATTTGAAATGCCTCAGATTAACCCTAATGGTAGTTTTTTTGTTCTTAAATTATTCTATAGAATGGCATTCATTTTTGTCAGCAGATTTAAAAAGACTGTAGTATAAGATATTTCATATTAAATGTTTTGTTTTTTTTGTTTGTTTTTTTAAATTTCAACTCTAAGTAAGACTTGTTTATAAATAATTACTGGTAGCTTGAGATATGATATAATAACCTATGAACATTTTGACTTTTGTGAATGTAAGATGCTTTGATATTTCCCTCCAATTAGATTTTAATATAGTAATAAAAATGGCACTATTTCTGGACTTAGAAATGCTTATTATTAATTTATTTTAATATTGGATTTATTATTGTCATTATATTGAGAAAACAGATTATTTTTGTTTCTGTACTTATGAAAGAATTTATATAGGAATGTTGTTTTTTATGTCTAATCAAATTACAAAAGAAAGTTAAATAAATCTGGTGATTTGAGTTTAATGAAATAATTTTCCAATTCAAACTCTTGTAAAAAATCTGTTGTTCATTCTAATAAATATGAAAGTTATTTACTAGATTTATTACATAATATTAACATATGTCCATGACACTTTTTTATATTAGTTTCATTTCAGTTTGAATCTACAAAAACTAAAATAGATTATTTGTGAATTGTATATTCTTACTTATTTTGAGTGACAAGTGAGTAATAATACTTATCACAAGTATTTTTGGACTTGGCTCAGTGATTAGGATAAGAAAGTAAGTATTAAAAGGTTAAAAATTTCTTCAGATTGCCACATTATTGATACTTATTGCCATATATTTTTACTGGAAAAAGATTATTTAAATTTATATATGATTTAACATTAAAAAGTAAATGTTTAATCTGACAGTTTGGTGATTATGAAATCTAAGATGATTATCTTACGATACAATGTTTTCCACAAAAAGACAAAGAAATTCAAAATATATTCATAATTTTATATCATGTAATGCAAAATTAGCAACTTATTGTTATAAAATGTTAGTCACAAAGATGAAAAATATTTTTAAAATTCCCCAACCAAATCAAACATTTGCTTTCTAATTACATGTCAACCATAAAATGAAAATAGTCAGTCTGTAACATTGCAAAAATAAAGCCTTATGCAGAACTCTGAAATCTTTTTAGATTATTACTATACTTGATGTCATATAAGATTCTCCTTCCTGTTTCCATTGAATATTACAGTATTTTGCTTTCATTTGTTCTTTAATATAGTATTTTTTACTACATCTATCATAAAGTTTATGAGCCAGTAACAAACTTTTACCAAACAATTTTCATATTTTTATTAATACTTCCAATACAGGGTTGTGCAGTAGAAAACTTTTTCATGTGAAAATGGGCAATGACACAAAAATAGGTAGAGAATTCATGATTTAAACAGTAGGTTTAAAAAAGCTTATTGATCCAGGAAATATTCATGTTTCTTTAGACTCAAATTCAAAGTGATCTTATTTTCAAAGATCTTTTATAACTCTAGTTTAGCATTTCTATTTTTCTAAGTGTACATTTCAAATACAATACCAAGAACACAGATTATTAAACAATTCATAGTCATTTTGATACGTGTAATAAAGGTTACTTCATCAACAACTACCCTTAACATAAAATATTAACATAATTGAATACAATTCTTTACTGTCTTAAATCTACTTTATAATAGTTATATTTCTTCATAAGATTTAAGTACTTGAGGTTTTTATTTATTTATTTATTAGATTGTACAATGTACAAGATTATAGATAATTTTTTCTCCAAATAATATCTGAAAAATATTCTTAATTCTGGGACTTCAAATATAGCATAGATCACACACATTTTTTGAGTAAATGGTAATAGTCATATTAACTGTTTCCCTATAAGGAAACATTCATTGATCGAGCTACTTTTGGTAAACAGTTTTCAGGAAAATAGGTTTCTCAAGTTCACTGTTATTGCTCTTTCCTGTACTGAAAGTGACCTTTCCTTCCTAACCTTTTCTTTGAAATCATGTGGAATGTCAACATCTTGGTTATATCATTATTTTCTCTTCAAGTTACATGTGCTGTCCATTTTAGTTATTGCTGCTGTTGAAAGTCCTCAAGTGATGTGCTTTCTGTTATATGGAACAGTTCTTTTTGATTCCCTAGTGCCAGTCCACAAGGTTAGAAGAAGGGTGGTCATCTCTAAGACATACAGGTTTCATTTGCTCAAAGCCATTTTTAACCCTTGATCTGAAAAAAGTAGTTGTTTTCAGTTGACAGTTTAGATATTTCTGAATGAGTTTGATACTATATGTGGCATCCATATGAAAGTCTGGATCTGATTAGGCTAGACATTTCAGAAAAGACCTCTAATCTGTATGCACAGATATGTACACGTTCATTCAACAATTTCTCTATGAAGGTGTGCTGAAAAGTTTTTGTCCTGGTCCAAGCATAGGAATTTTATTTAATTTAATTAATTTTTTTTTTTTGTGTGTGTGTGTGGGGGGTATGGGGGGGGCTGGTCTAAGAAATTTTCAGCACCTTCTCATAACTTTTCCAAAAGAAAACAGCTAGTTAACATATTTTAAGCATTCAATTATGACAGCCATTTAGTTAATAACCAAATCTAAAAACAGAATGGGACCAAGTTTGAGGTTTCCCAAATAAGATATTGTGTATTTCTTTAAAGTAAATATAAGTATCTGTGATATTATAATGAAAATAGTCTAAATTTTTAGAGATAAATGTCAGCTAAAAGTGTTTACAGTGAAATTCATTTAATATTATTATTTTAATTATTTCAAACATTTTTATTCTGATAAAGAGACTTAAATGCTTTTTCTTTGTTTTGCAGAGCTGAAGCCAGTTGTCAAAGAATTGCGGAACTAAATCCCTATGTAACTGTTAAAACTCTTCCCCAAGCGCTCAATGATGATACAGATCTTGCTTATTTGACTGAATTTCAAGTAAGAATTTCTTTTCGTAGTACTCTTGCCTATTATTTTTTAACCCTTTAGGATTCAACCTGCCCAAACTCATCATATAAATATCGGCTCTTAATGTTCAACCCACCGTAACCTGCCCCATGTATACTCTGTCATAATATATGCAGGAAGTCACAACACAGTGAGACTTTGAGAGCCATTATTTATGGGGCAAGTTTGACTATGTTGAATGCTAAATGGTTAAAGGTAAAAATTTGTGTCATTACGTAAGAATTTTCAAAAATCATGTAATTATCACATTTGATGACCTTTTAGTTACCCTCACCTCCATTTCCATTTAATATTATGGTATTATAAGAGTTATAGATAGAAGTAGTATATAATATCTGGATAAACATTTGCCCACCAGATGCCTCAACTAGGAGATAATTTTAGGAAAAAAGTAGAGGTGGTAGGCTTTGTCATTAATACAGTATATTTTAAGGTCTCTGGAAAGTTCTACTTTTAATGTAAAACTTGTTATAGCAAAACTAAAAAAAAATTGGAAATTAGAATCAGATGAAATTTCATAAACTTGTATGCACCAGGTATTTGAAAATACACCTTTAGCAAGCCATTTGCCAACTTTTAATTTCTCTTTCAGATATATTGAGAGCATTAATATGACAGTTTCCAAGTTAACAGAGAAAATGAAAAGATATACCATGCTCATGATATTAGCTGTCAACCACAGCAACACAGAAATTATCAACTTCTTGAAAGTGGCCAGCTCCTTTGTGTTTTCATTTAAAAATGAACTAGAGGCCTCTCATGGAGAGGAGTCATCAATGGCTAAAAAGAAAATTTATTCTCAGCACTCAGATGAACAGCTAAGTTCATACATCACTTCCAAGGTATCATCAGCTATGATTCCAGCAAGTCAATGAGAGCTATTACTGAGCATCTCAATCTATATAGACATATATACATCTGGTACATCATAGATGAAAGTCATAGTTTATCAAGAAATACATGTTTAACAAGACCAGAGAGAACTGTAAGATCTGATTGAAGTGCTTGTGGAACAAGTTCTAGCATCCCAACAAACCTTACTTGCTCTGTTTCTTCTTTGATGAAAAGAACTTTGACTAGGTTCAAACAGTGAAAATGATATGCCCTGCACAGACACCATGGAAATATCTCTGGTGATGCACACCAAATTTATGTCTGTGATGGTAATGAAGAATGAGGATCATATCATTTCATCCCACTACTTGCCATAGGGTCTCAGAATCAGTGTCATTATCCACACTGAAGTGCTGGACATAGTGGCTTAAAACCAAGAAAATCCATACTTTTCCAGCAGAACTCTGCACCGTCTCATATGGCCTACCTCCATCCAAGAATTTTCACAAATCATTCTACCTCCAACATGTGACCTCTGAACTCTCCTGATTTGATACCTTGAACTTGGGGCATTGTCAATCAAGCAGACTAATCAATAGTATTGCAATAAGAATAACTACTTGAAGATTGCGATCATGGACATGATTGTCAACATGAATGAGAACCATCTGAAGTTGCACAGCACCATCCTGTAGGCTGACATCATTTTTCAGTTTTTTATGTTGAACAATTTTAAAAATGATAATGACTTTTTTTTTTCAATGTCTTTATCACAATTACCTGCTGCATCCTTGTTTATGTACAGAGTGTATCTATAAACAAGTATCTATCTTTAATCATACATTTTAAACTGCTGAGGTAATTAATCATTTAAGTATAAACCATATAAGGGATTCAGATATTTGTTGGTTTAAACTAACTTTAATACAATGCCAGCGAATTAAATCACTAGCAAGAATAACATTTTAGCCATTAATGGCAAGAGCTTAGCATAGATATCTACAAAGCTAAGCTTCTTCTGACAGCGAACCAAATGGAGAGAAAATGGCATTACTGTTCATCCAAGTAAAAATGGCATGCCATCCTTGAAAATCAACATTCAAAATTCTGGTTATTTCTCTGATCTCAAATATTGTGTCTATAATTTAGGGTACATAGACATGCCAATTATAAACAACCAAAAATGCATGGACACTTTTTAAGAACACACACCCAAACACAAAAAAAATTGTTGCTCTTACTTTGTCAGTGTAAAATTGATACCTCACTGATTTGATGCATGTTTCTGTGCAAATGTCTCTGGGAAATGTATGAATTCATCTCTTCTTTCCTCCTTCCTAGCTAGGAGTTAACTAGTGGAGTTGACTGGGCTGTCTAGCTGCTACTGAGTAGCAACCAGTGTAAAAGAAGGAAAACTCTGAATTCCAAATCATGAAGAAGATAACAGGAAACCACTCCACTATCTTTCCCAAGATGTCATGTTAATTCACAGGTAATAAAAGAATCTGTGGATTGTCATGATTGCCTATGTCCTGAAGGAAAATGGTGTTATATAAAAGAAATAAAATGGTATCAGAAAAGCTATTTTTAAACTTTGTTTTTTTTTTGTTCTCTTCTAAAAGTAGGTTTCTATTTATTTTTAAAGTGACTCCATTTGTTTTGTGATTTATTCAGTTTAATGTTTTTTCTTGTGTTGTTACTTTCATTCCAAACAAATTTAGATTCAACTCTACATGTACATTATTGCAATAATTAAACTCTTATAAGGAATTTGTATGATATATATTTGCAGAAAAAACTCACATGTTTAATATTTTCATTTCATAGTCTATTCCTTATTTTAAATGTTTGAAAAAAAATCCTTACACAAATGCTTTATGTTAATGTTGCTGGCTATGCTATCTTTGTTGCTTCCTGATTTATCAACAGAGAAAAGATGATGAGCCAAGTGAGTCACAGACAAAAAAGCCACCATTTTCGTGGTTGCCAGCAGCTAAAGTCATTTTCTATCAGCTTATCACAAATTGAACCAGCAACTCCTTACTTCAAGTGAAATTGTCAGCCATGCCTATATTTTTATTTATTTTCTCTTATATTGTTTTGGGTTGGGTACAGCCTTTTTGATGCTCTGTCATTGGCTCTTTGATAACTTATATAGGCTCCTTTTATGCCCATCCCCTATTCATTTTGGCACTTGGAGTCCATTTGTACCCTACACTAATATCCTTTACTACTTTGAAAAGTACTCATATATCTACCTTCCCACTTATTTTTTCACATGTTTTTCTACATCTCTCATTCATCTTCATTTCTTCTTACTTTTTTTTATTTTATCTCATTTCTCCTTTTCTTTGTACTCCACAATTTTCTTTTGCAGTATATTCTCTACCTCATTTTCTATGACAGTCCTTTTCTATCACTATTTATTTTTCTTCTTTTTATTTTCTAATATTTCATTGTCTTTATCTTTTCAGATTATTTTTTCTTTCTTCTTTGAATCCTTTTTTATTGTTTTACTCTTTCAATTTTCTATCATATTTCTTCCTTTTACATTTTCATTGTGCATTATCTGTCCTTTTTATTTCTTTTTTTCTTCCCTTTGTCCCTATCAATTTTGTTTTTTTTTTTTTTTGTATTTCTTATTTTCACTTGGACTTCTCTTTTTCCCTTGCTCACTCTTCACACACACACACACACACACACACACACACACACACACACACACACACATAATTAATTTTTTCAAATTTCCAATCTGTAAATTTGTCAAAGTTCATATTAATTTTTATTTTATATTATTTGTTTTCAAGTACTTTCAAATGTTGCTACATTTGTTTTTAAGGATTGTTCTGTGTATATTTACACAACTGTTTTTTTTTTTAATTTAGGTGTTCTTACATTTCATGGTACCAATTTCAAGTTACACAAGAGTACATCATTTAAACATTTTATCTGTATTTTTTTTTTTAATTTTATAGTGACATTTTTTTTGTAGCAACATTCAAAAATACTTGGTAAAAAATAACATAAAATAAAAATAAATATGAACTTTGGCAAATTTACCAATAACATAAAACAACTAATTTGAAAATTTAATAAAAAAAATGATAGAACTTATCAATATTATTTAACCAGACATCTTTGAAAGAATTATTGCTGCTGAAATATACTTTATGTGTGTGTGTGTGTGTGTATATATATATATATATATATATATATATAGCTAGCATATATGTTGGCAGCATGTTTCATTGAATAATTTAGACACATTTTGTCTACAATTCGATCCTTTCATATTCACGAACAAGTTTTTTGGTGTCATTAAGAGAAGAGAGAAAATAGCCATGTTGATACATATTTTATTCAGAGTACTTTCAACACAGCACAATGTCATCATCAGGGTGTTGTTTATTTCAAGACAAGTATTGTAGTATTCATCATTTTCAAAGACAAAGTTTCTATGTTCATCTGAAAGTTAAATTTTTATACTTATGAAGTGAAGAGCACTGAGTGAGTACATGATCGCTTTACACTGCTTCAGAGGAGGTAACTAAGTATGGTGTGTCAAGAGTTTTTAAGAAATAAGTATTAAAACTATTATTGCAAACTTTGATATTTTAAACTGTACACATTTTAAAACTTTTGTGCAGTGTTCATAATTAATTTTATTAAGGTTTGGTTTCAATTTTTTAATATAGATTCAAGAATTTTTAGTTTATGTTTATTATTTTCATGTAAAAGTATAGATGTATTTTCAACAAGAATTTTTCTGAATTGCGAATGTGAACAGGTATGTTGTTGTAAATGTACATGTGTTGTAAATGTTTACAAATGTTGGACATATTCAAATGAAAATCCAGCCACCGAGACAATGTGGTTGTAGTGTGTCCAACATAAATATTTTTTTTTTCCATTTACTAGGATCTGTGGTGGATTTATTAGAATTTATTAATTTTTTTTTGTGGGGGGGTATTTTTATCTTGTTTATAATTAGAATGTATTTGTATGCTCAATGACCACATAAAATTTTTAAAAAATTAACAGGAATCTAAGCAACCAATTAAATTAAATATTAACAAACTTGTCACTGCTAATAATGGCAAACAGAACAGTTTGAAACTTCCTAAAATTGCGGG